ACACACACACACACACACAGCAGCAGCAGCAGCAGCAGCAGACAGACACAAACACATATATCATTTTATTATATACATGTTGTAAGACATAAATTACCTTAGAACAATAAGAAGTTCAGAACAGTACGATATTCAAAGTTTCATACAAAATACAACTATTATACCAATAACCTTGCACATTTGCCATTTGCATATGCTAATGAGATAAAGGTGCTTTTTATACTTTGTCAGCGACGGAAAAAAACATTTTACGTCGTAGTCTGTCGTCTTCCAATAAATATTGTAATATTCTCTTTCTTTTTTTACGTTAATATTGTTATAATTTAACATAATTTTAATATATATGTATATATGTATGTATAAATGCAAGAGCACATATATGACTGTATATGTATGTACGAGACTTATGATTGTAAAATTTGTTTCAAATATAAAAATAAATTGCTATTCTCACAACGCCAATAACCTTTTTATTTAATAGTCATAACTTCTGTGTATATATTAAGTGATAATAAAATCACAATTATATATACAAATATATGTCTAAGTGTGTGCGAAAACATCTGTGCCGAGAATTTTGGAAAGTATTGAAAAATTCTACTTGAAATTATAACAATCCTTATATTTCTATCGTCAGGAATGTAACATAATTAACAAAAGGATGTTAAAAAAAAAATAAAACGAACGAAACGAATCTAATATACATAATGTATACATTGATTAAAGATGCAAATTTATCTTGACCTAGAAAAATATTTGGTTTTTAGACCTTAACTATTGCATCGGAACATTAAGTTGTTCCTTCTCTCTGTTTTCTTTTACGAGCGCCATAAGGACATTTAATTGATTTATGGTGTCCTTGGGACAAGTGACGCGGTGTCCTATCGTCAAATCGCTCTCGTAAATCTCATAATCATTACCGCCTTCGGCCGTTTTGTCGCCGAAGAAATGTATCTCGTCATATCCCTGAATATGACGCAAACAATATGTTTTATCCCAACCAACAGGAAAAACATCGAAAGAGATTTGTCCTCCTTGGAAAAAATAAATTCACGCTTAAAATTTACATACATACTGATTTAATTTTTGTCATCATTAGACATTTCATAAAAAAGATATATTTGCAAAAATAAAATAAATGAATTAATAACATATTAAAATAATTCACAATATTAATTTATTATAGTAAAATTTAGTTATAATAAATTAAATTAAAATTGTAAATTATTAACAATTTTTAATTATTTTTCTATAACATATCACTTACCAATACTATAAGTCAGCGCCAAATCAGGAAATTCTTTTTTAAGGACCTGTATGAATTTTTCGCGAATATGATGTTCGTTGTCATATTCATGAAACTGTTCCCGTTCTTTTTTGCTGCAATTTCGTCCCACTGGTGTAACATTCATCATACCCGTGCGGAATTCTATAAATGTTCCACGCTTAAACGGCAGTTTCAATTCAGATATGTATCTTAAGATGAAATTTATAAAATCCTGCAAAACATCTTCTCCAAGCATATCCTGGATTGACTAAAATTCGATGTTAAGCATGTTAAGAGAGAAAATGCATCCGTTATCACTTAGATTATTCTTGTTACTTACTTGTGATGGCAAAGCTTTACCATTCTTGAAGGCAATGAGGCCATTTTCCGCAAAAACATATTTGTATTTTTCAAAAACACTACCACCACCCAGTTGTTCTTGGATCTTATTTAAATCTGAACCTCCAACTACTGCAATGTCAAATTCTTTTTTCACCGTTTCCAGAAGAAACTTTTCAACATTTGGATCGATTGGCTAAAGAACACGAAATTATGAATTTGCCTAATTAGCAGACAGCTCAAGATGTAGAGTGACACAATAAAACATAGTAATATACAAAGAGAAATAGTGTTAATATTGTTAAAAGATTAACAAATTAAATAGATTTGATATGTGCAAAATATAATACCTGTCGTGGTTCAGTGAGTGTGCCATCTACATCGAACAGACAAATAATCTTTTTCGACATGATGTAATCTCGTCTCTTTTAGGTACTTATGAACTCTGAAACACATATTATCATTACATAAAAATATCACGAATGACAAAATATATAAATACATTGTTCACAAAACAAAGCAGAAATAAACAAGTTTTTTAAAATTATATCAGACAACTTTAAATAATCGTTTTTTTTTATTACAATTGGTTTCGAAATAAAGACCGAGATTATCAGAAAACGGGATTTCAAATCATGTGCCGAGTTAAAGGAAACAGGTTAACAATTATCCCCCCCCCCCCCCCCACGTATTTCTTCATAGAATGTTACGTCAGTTGCAGCATGCTGTTTTCAGCTATGATTTACGTTGCAACGTGTTTACAATTGATAAATTAAACAAAAAATATAAGTAAACATGTATAAGTAAAAATATAAGTAAACATGTGCATTTCGAGAAGAAAAAGAGTGTACATTTCCAGGGTGTAATCTATTCCAGCAAAAATACAATGACATTTATCATCTGTGTAAAAGATCGTTTCAGGACGGGTCAGTATTTCCGGAGATGATGCTGAAAATTTTGACATACATGAGATATGAACGACAACATTTCGTGCGAGATTAACGGTGGCGAGAGGTTATGTCCGAAATGAGATACAGGAAACAAAAGCATGTTTAAAAAAAAATGTATATACGTGGCTGGTTTGACGTGCCGTGACGTGACGTGACGTGTCGTCTAGTGTCTTGTCCTATCTCGTGTCAGCGTCACCACATGTTGGAGATGTCACGTACCAATTGGGTAGGAGAAAATGTACCAAGTTTACAAACCCGTCCCCTCGACACTTCGCAATGTTTTTCGCAGATATGGAACAATCGTTATGTTTGCATTTGATATTCCTGTATATCGAATGCGGAAATACATGTCATGCGATTAACAATTAATCCTTTATTATATATTTGTTAGGATGGAGTTCAGAGGATTTTTCATTGGTCATATTGGCGATATGTGCGGTGCGTCACATATGTTAAACAATTACGATATGTTGCGGAACAGCTGTTTGAATAAATTATTGTATATTATCTTTTTGTGTATTATCTTCTTATCTAATACAAATGGAAAAAATGCGCCACAAAAAAATGTGCTTCTGTTGCTGGGTAATTTACATAATGAACTTATTTTTTATGTCGTGAGTGGTTCACAAGTATCTTATCAAATAATTAAAATAAATCGGTTGTAGCTTTATGTAAATTGAAATCTAATTTTAAGGATAAGACTATTGAAATTGCGCATCTAAATATAACAGCAATGAAAGCGATAAAGAAACTACAAACTTTTCAGCTGAGAAAAATTTTGGACTTATGTTTATAATATTTATTATGTTTTGCAGTTAGGCCAATTTTAAATTCACAATCTACATAATTCATGTTGACGTTTGAAACAAGTTCCGTCTATACAGAAAATATTAAATAATTACAATATACTCATATACACAGATATAAAAAATTGAAGTATACAACATGAAATAAAATTATTAAATTATAAATTATAGATTCCTTAAACTGAGAATTTGAAATTTTATTCTGGTCTTATTATATAAAATAATTATTTGTTAATTCACAGCTGACGATGCAGGATTTGAAATGCGATCTTACTTGAACAAAATATGTCAAACTCCTAATTTGGATAAATTAGCAAAGGAAAGTTTACTCTTCAACAATGCATACACATCAGTCAGCAGTTGTTCACCAAGGTATTCTTGTCATGCAACTATGAAATCTGAATCTAATTAAAACACAAATTTTGAGTTTTGAATTTGCAGTCGCTCAGCAATATTAACTGGATTACCAAGTCATCAAAATGGAATGTATGGCCTTCATCATGGAATTCATCACTTCAATTCTTTTAATAATATTCAAAGTTTACCAAAAATATTGAAAAGAAATAATATACGAACAGGTAAGATAACATATAATGGTTTTATAGTATAAACATCATGTTACTATAATACTACAACTTCAATTGTTTTCTTTACGCAGGAATTATTGGTAAAAAACATGTGGGTCCGAGTAACGTTTATCCATTTGATTTTGCGTATACAGAAGAGAATAATTCCATTCTTCAAGTGGGCCGCAATATTACTTACATAAAGCTACTAGTCCGCGAGTTTCTCTCACAAAATAAAACTCAGTAAGCGTTATAGTATCATAAATTTTCATCATATAATATTCTGCAAAACATTTTCCAGTTGTATTAAAATTTTGTAGACCCTTTTTTTTTATGTTGCCTTTCATGATCCGCATCGTTGTGGGCATTCTCACCCAGAGTATGGCAATTTCTGTGAGAAATTTGGTAATGGTGATGTCGGAATGGGTACAATTCCTGATTGGAATCCAATATATTATCAATGGGAACAAGTTAAGGTACCTTATTATATTCAAAATACCGAGGCTGCCCGGAGAGATATTGCTGCCCAATACACAACAATATCTCGATTAGATAAAGGTATTTCTTCTTTTTTTAAAGGATATTATTTAGCAATTATTTAAATATATATGTTTTAAGTATACTATTAACGATCATATATATTATTTATGAAATTATTTATGAAAAGAGATATAACTTTTTAGGTGTTGGTCTTGTTCTGGAAGAATTAAAAAATGCAGGATTCAAAGACAATACATTAGTAATTTATACATCCGACAATGGTATACCTTTCCCAAATGGTCGTACTAATTTGTACGATTCAGGTTTGTAAATTTAGTTAGAAGTGCTGAGAACAAAAACTAGTAAACATTTTTAGTTTTCATTCTCAGTGTCTTATTTTGGAAAACTGTACGCTAAACGATAAAGAGACAGAAAACAAAAAATAAAATTTAAGAACATAAGTTAATTACAACTTAATTTTATATATGTAAGAATGAGTTTCTAAAAAATTTTAAAGGTTTGGCTGAACCTATGATGATATCATCACCAATTCAAGGCCATAGGAAAAACAGCGTAACGTACAGTATGACATCTCTACTAGATATAGTACCTACAATACTAGATTGGTTCAATATAACTTACATGGATCAAGATTCCGATGAAATGTCGTCTCTACAATTGACTGGCAAATCTCTTATACCACTACTTCACAAAGGTACGTACTGTATTGAATATAGTAAGTATATACTCCATTTGTCTTTTGTCAGAAAAATTATACTGTAAAGTAATCAATATTCTATTTATAGAACCCGTAGAAAATAACACAGCGATCTTTGCTAGCCAAACACATCATGAAGTTACCATGTATTATCCTATGCGTGCCATTAGGACTAAACGCCACAAACTTATACATAATATCAACTACAAAATGCCATTTCCTATTGACCAAGATTTTTATGTATCTCCGACTTTCCAAGTAATCTAAAAAAGAATATTTAAATGATACCATTAACTCTTCTTTAATTAAAGTTATTTTACAAAATTGTTTAATATAAACATATTTATAATATATGTATTGCATTACTGTATAGGATATTCTAAACAGAACGAAGCATCATCAACCTTTACCGTGGTATAAAACATTAAAAAAATATTATCAGAGACCAGAATGGGAATTATATGATCTAAAATATGATCCAGAAGAACTAAACAATATAGCTTTCAAACCATCTATGAAGGTATTATGAATTTATTTAATCATATTTCCTCTTGGCAAATACTAATAATAAATGTATTTCAATTTTATGTATATTTAAATTTCAGAGTGTACTTATTGGACTTCAAAAACGACTATTTAATTGGCTAAAGATAACAAAGGATCCATGGCTTTGTGCACCAGATGGTGTTCTGGAGAATATTGGCCAAAACAATGAACCTCAATGTATGCCACTGAACAATTTTGATGATTGAGATTATTCCTAATATTCATGGTTGTCAATTATTACATCCACTTTTTTATAATTTTATATTCCACTGTAGACACTTTTTACTAATAATAATAGGTGTTAAATTTAAGTTACAAAAAATAATATTCCATAATCTATAATTTATACTTAAGCAATGAATAGAGATAAGATGTAATACTCAGCGCAATGTATATAAATTATAACCATTTTCCAACTATTAAGAGCATAAGAAATTAAATAACAATGAAATTGTTCAGTTGGCTAAAAATAACAAAAAGTCCGTAATTGTATGTATTAGATAGTATTCTAGAAAATACTGGACAAAAGCAATGAATCTGAAGCCATATATGCCATTAAGTAATTTTGAAAATTATATTAAAATACATTTCTATTGATTTTTGTTGATAGCTCTATTATATCTATTCTTTAATAATTTTATATTTTAATATGTTTTACTAGCAATAAATATTAAAAAGTCTCAAAAAATAATGTCTATAATAAATAGTCCATAATTTATAACATTCATACTCATGCAATGAATAGTAAAATATTGTAACATTCATTATAATATATATAAATTATACATTTATATATTTTAAAATTTATTTCAATATTAAGAGCATAAGAAATTGAATATTATGATAAAAACAAGCTTTTATGATATAAATATAATTTACAAACCTCAATTTATTAGTTATTATGCTATTTACTGCTTTATAATGGTAAAGTAGCTCTTGAGGTTGAGACATTTTTTGACTCCCTTTCACGATACTTTGTAAGCATTTCATTTAATTGGCGAACATAAGCTGATGATTTGTTGATGGACTTTACCACTGTTTTCAATTCCGTCGCTATTTCATTCATCTAAAAATACATGCGAAAATAAATTAATATATAAATTCAAATTAATATTAAATTCAAAATTATAAAATTTACTTAATTTATTACAAAATAAATAAGGAAAAGATATATTAACTGTATAATTATAAGTAATTATATTTATGTAAATACAAACAAATCTCACATATTGTTTATAGTTGAGATATCTATTATATTTTTGATTATTATTATAGATCTGTTTGATTTGAATCATGAATAAGAGACACAAAGCAAGGCCACCCAACACGACGAGAGAATTGGAATTCTGAAGTCCGCGTAAAACGAGCATCACAATTGTTGAGGTTAGAACAAATCGATCAAATATAAACGACTGTTACATAACTGTACATAGTAGAAACATTAATTTTTGAAGCAAAACGTTTCGTAAGAAGAAAACGTATCGATCATTTCAGTTATTCGCATCTTTACATTTATTTTCACAATATCAAATGGATTCATACAACAGAGCACCATACATGATCACGCCACTCGCGATTATGTGCGATTGCTGAATCGCTCGCTCGCGAGAAACTCGAAAAACATTTTTTTCATTCTTTTCTCTTTTTCTTAATCAAGTTTTCTAATATATTTTTTGTCGTAAAATGATCCAAATTGTTATTGTAATACATCTAAAAAATCTTTGGAGTCAAGAATGAACAATCAAAAATGTCAATTTGAAATATATTTTATATATTGTTTATATATTAATTAAATAAATTTAAGTTTATATGTAACTAGCTATAATAAATTATCTTTTATTATTTTATATGTTATATTTTATATCTTTTATTATTTTATTATGTTATATTTTATTATACTAGAGTTATTGGTTTAAGAACAATAAGATATAGAAAAAATATTTTCTAGAAATGTATACTTTCTTTTCAATTCCTTTAAAAAAATTTTTTAATTATATGAATGATATTAATGATTGTATAAAAATTAATAAGAAAGGAAAGAATATTTTATTAATATCCATACATTTTTCTTTTTAATAACATAATATAAATACTTATAGAATCATATTTCATATCTTAACAATTTGATATTTATAAATATTTATAAATATTAATTATAAATAGAAATCACAAGCATCATATTTGGTATATAAATAAGTTTTATGTTATATAAATAAGATAAAATGAGATCCAAGTATGAATAACTAATTTTATTTTGCATTACACAACCTTAGCAGTCGGATGTAACGTAACATCCTCATTTTTTTGTAATGCAATTTGGACTGAAGATTTTTAATTCGAAGTCGTAATTCTTTTTCCTTCTTGGTTGACTTTGGTATTGTTTGTGTACTTACACTCTGATAATAATGGAAAAGATATATATATATATATATATATATATATATACATACATACATATATATATATATATATATATGTATATATGTTTGTGTTAGGAAGCAAAGTTTAGTAAATCTAAGATTTATTTTATAATAAACAAACCTGAGTTTCAGGATTAGTTTGTATTTCTTTATCTGCTACACTTGGTATTGGTAATGACACATAGGTTAAAAACATGTTTTCCTCCTGTATGTCGCAATGAAAATCATCACTATTACTTATATTTGACAATACAACATCAGATGTTGAAAGCAATTTTTCTGCTTCTATGAGTATTTCTTTCTGTAAAATAACACATAAGATTTATGTTACATTTGCACCTGTAGAATAAAGCAATTATTTTTAAAATCACTTACACATTTGGCTAAATCCTGCGGAAATATATTAGGAATTGCATTCTTTTTCAACTTTCGTTTACCAGAGGTACACTCATATTGTGACTGATCGAAATGATTGCTACATATTCGAGAATGTTTGGTAATTAGATTATTTGTTGGCACAACTTGCAACCATTCTTTTAACAAATCTTCATTTTTCAATGGGAAACTGGAAGAATTGTTAGAAAATATTAAAGGCTATGTTTGAGAATTATATTTAAGGTTAAGTTTTTGTTATTATTGTAAGTTTTTGTATATTATATTTTGTATATTATATACCTGAAGAATGATAAGTCGACATCTGGACGCCACGATGCCTTGCATCCTTCAACACAACAACTGCTGACCATTTTTATTTATTAAATACAGACTAGAATAATAAAGTGGTTTCTTCTCCTTTTTTTTCCATAACTTTATTCTTTATTATTCTTTATTAGAGGATGCGTTCCGTTTCACGCATAACGCGCGTTGATTGTATGGACGGTGTTCCGTTTCCAACTAATAGCAGGTTTGTTTTTTATTCCTGAATTTCCTGAACTAGTGTAAGAAATGTACAATGAGGAGTATAAATAAAGTCCTTTTTCCGTGTAGCTAAGAGTAGATAAGCGCGCCATCCGTGGATTGTCGTTACACTTATTTTCCGAGGATCAGCGTCAAAGATTGAATGCATCTCAGTTTCTGCATATATATTGCTCGCACGTAAAAGACTTTAATACAATTATTTATGCAATTATTATTTACATACAATATGAGAATTATATTTTAATTAAAATGTAATAATTAATATTTTAATTATAATTATTATACTATACATCTGTATTATTATTCTCCTATTATTATTCCAGTAAACACAAACTATAAAAGTAATATTTTAAACATTAACGTTAACATAATAACTAAAATTTTTTTATATCA